AAACGCCCCCTGCTGTCCGTCCACATGCATGGCTGGGGGTTGGCAGCTGAAGTTAGTGTAGAATTAAATTAGTTCGTTCATTTTTGTGAACCAGTAGATGAAGACCACAATACTGGCAGTATGTTATGGCTTTGAAATTAATAATTAGGTATCAAAGGTAATTTATTGGTATACCTGTCTGTTTACAAGCTGATGGCCTTACTGTGCCCTTTGTTTATATATATATATATATATATATATATCATATATGTGTGTGTGTGTGTGTGTGTGTGTGTGTGTGTGTGTGTACATATATATAGTGTGTCATCTCACCCCCCTGGCCCCTGGTTGTTCCTGCAGGACATGCTGGCCCTGCAGATCATTGGCCTCTTCAAAAATATCTTCCAGCTGGTTGGCTTGGACCTCTTTGTCTTCCCCTACAGAGTAGTGGCCACAGCCCCCGGGGTAAGTTAGCAGCTGGCCACCCACGCTGTGGCCCCCCCAATCCCACCCCTGCCCCCGCCCTGCGCGGGCCTCAGCCCAGCAGAAAAGAGACCACACAATGTATTCTCACACCGCATTTCAGCCTGTTTCAGAAAGGGCCCGGGCATCTCAGGCAGCCAACAGCAGAATGCCAAACAGAAATCCTGCTTCTCCAAGGAGGAATATCGATTTGTTCTGTGGAATAAATCATTGGGTTGTGAATGTTTTAAACTTTGCTGCATGCATGTATTTTTTCCTGCAATTGAACTGTGTGCAATATTCTCTCATTGTTTATTTTTTAAACGAAGGCTCTCATATCTTCTGTTGTCGTAATTTCCCATGAATCAGTGCGGCGTCATCGAGTGCATCCCAGACTGCAAGTCTCGAGACCAACTGGGTCGCCAGACTGACTTTGGGATGTACGACTACTTCAGGAACCAGTATGGAGATGAATCCACACTGGCTTTCCAGAAGGTGAGGACGTGGGAATTGGCAATTTCCAGCATATATATGCTGCCCATTAGATTGGGGGATTATACTTCCTGTCCAGCAGGAAGTTTTGGTCATGGACTTATTGTAGGGTTAAGGCAGAATGACTGTTCAATGTAATGGCCAATGAGTTTGGTCTGTCTGTCTTCTTCCTGTAGGCCCGCTACAACTTCATCCGCAGCATGGCCGCATACAGCCTGCTCCTCTTCCTGCTGCAGATCAAGGACCGGCACAACGGCAACATTATGCTGGACAGCAAGGGCCACCTCATCCACATTGGTCGGTACTGTCTGTCCCAAATGATCTTACCAGAACATCCGTCTACAGTCCATCTCGCTCCGCCATGTTAGACCCTTTCTCCTGTTTGACTCGATCTCAATAGACTGTCTCATTTCCTAGGGGATACAGAGTCAAATCTCAGTGTTTGGCCAGTAAATAATCTTCCGCATGATACCGATCGTTCTGATTGTCCCCGCAGATTTCGGGTTTATGTTTGAGAGCTCCCCTGGAGGAAATCTGGGCTGGGAGCCGGACATCAAACTGACAGACGAGATGGTGATGATAATGGGGGGGAAGATGGAAGCTACGCCCTTCAGGTGGTTCATGGAGATGTGCGTGCGGGGATTCCTGGCCGTCAGGTGAGGCAGTGGCTGGACCTAGTGCTGCCCCCCCTTCAGAGTCCCTATAATGTCAGCATTTCACTGCAGCCTCCTTACTCCCTTTGCTTCTCTTGGACCAGCTCCTATTGAACAAGGATTTAATCAGCGAGCTTTATTATTGTGGTGTGAGATTACATAAGCGACCAGCAAAAGTAATCACAAAAGTAATCCATTACTGGATGGAAAGTTCAGGTCCGGAAAGTACAAATCCAGACCAAGGTTTTGTTTCAACCAACCAGTTGAGTCCTTCGTGACTGTGACTCTTTATACTGTACTCAACCGGTTGGTTGAAACAAAACCTTGGTCTGGATTTGTACTACGACCAGTAGCATTTTTTGCGTTCACAGTCGAGCCCATAGTCTTTCTGCATTTTCGTCTTGATGGCTACTCCATATCTCCTGAATGTGATCAGCAGCAAGCAGCAGTTAGAGATACAGCGCCTCGCATCTTTTCTCCACAGGCCCTACATGGATGCAGTCGTCTCCCTGGTTACGCTGATGCTGGACACTGGCCTGCCGTGCTTCAGGGGTCAGACAATCAAACTACTCAAGTGAGTGTCTCGTGCAGAACGGATCCCGGAGCTGGTTACGACAGCTTTGCACAGTTACAGGCTCCTCACACGCCAAGCAAGAGTCATTTAAAACATCCCCACCTGCAAACTGCTGTTGATGTATGAATGGTGACAGGTTTCACAATCCACTGTAAAGAGAGGCGTCATACCTGTCAGACCTGCCAGGGATACCTGTTCTTATTTCTGTCACGTATGTCACGAAGGTGAGTAGAGCCTCTACTTCACAATTCCTACTCTTGAATGTTTTGGGGGGTGTTTTTTTTTTTCACCTGCAGGCAGAGGTTCAATCCCAGCATGAGTGAGAAGGAAGCAGCCGCCTTCATCATCAAGATCATCCAGAATTGCTTTCTCAGTAGCAGGTAGGACCCTGTAACCGTGACGACTGAGGGTCGTCCTGCCAGCTGCCCGCTTGACTGCCTTATTGTTTCTGTGTCCCTCTTAAACCTCTAGGAGCAAGACCTACGACATGCTGCAGTACTACCAGAACCAGATTCCATACTGAGGAGGCTGCCGGAGTCTGGGGGGTGGGGGTGGGGCAGAACACATGGGTGCCCCTTTCCGTGCATTCTGTATACTGGTCACTGTCACTGGTCTTGTTCATCCCCAATGTGAAATGGAATTACCCAGCATTCCCAGTGAGTGTAAAGGTCGCTTCGCCCATTTTCTTCAGCATAATCTGCCCGAGTGTCTTGTGAAAGGATCCCTTTAAGAAAAGTGCTGTGTTCCTTGTATCTTTTCATTATTATTTACACTCTGTATATAGATATTGGGTCTTACTTGAAAAATGAGGATTGGGTTTTTTTGTTACCCAAGAAGCCATTCCACAAGAGGGTTCTGTCGTTCCCACACTCAGCCTGCAGGTTTTCTGATGTCCCAGGTATGGGGCAAGTCTTCCCTAACATCAAGCACCAATTTCTGAATAACCTGTGCAGCGTCATTCCTGTTGAGGGGTAGCGTGTCTCTGGCTGTGCTGTGAGAGTGAAAAATCGGCTTGGCTTCCACCCTTGTCTGTGTCTTTAAAAGTGTCACTTAGGATAGTACACGTTTAGATTTAATCCAGATGACACAGTGTTTGTGTACCTTATGCACAACTGTAGAGAGTAGGTAGTATTAGTATAAGTACATTATAATATACATCGTGCAGATAAGAAGGATCTTGAATATCTCAATACCTTAAAAAAAAAAAACTCAAGAGCAGAGAAGCCAAAAAAGTTGACGGTACTCTCGTGAATATGGGATGTTGTATTTTTAGTGTGTTTGTGTGTAAGATGGTCTCGCTGAGAAAAAGTGTGCTAAACAGTATGTTATATAGCCTATCTATAGCGCGCCCCGTCCGGCGCGCGGGCGTTACCGTTTTATTGTCCAATTCCCCGACGCTCTCTCTGAAGTGCCGTTTGTGCATTGATTCCACAGTTCACGATGCGAAGCAAATGTGGCCGCGTTACTTAGAAGACAGGAGCATTTTCAAACAGGGAAAAAATGCCGTTATGAATCGAAGGCACAATTTTCACACTGTTGTATGTTTTAAAAAACTCGTGTCAGAAAGCCTGTCGCGACGGTGGGACGCGCGTCTTAAGGTAAGATGTGCGCCCGGTCTGTCTTCCGCAAGGTGTCCCTTTGAAGGTGGGAAGGTCGCCAAATGGACACAGAAACTACAGAAAAGTGTTTTTAAACAATTCAGAGCCACGAAGGTAAAAAGTGAAGGAAAACTCGGATTTCCACAAATCTGCCAACATCCGACTCAGGCTGTAAACGTGTAGGCCTATATAAAGTATCAGAGCAAACTAAAAGAAAATGCAAAAGTATTTTTCATCAATAGTCTGTTTCAACAATTTATTGATGAGTAATTACATTTGCATATTAGCTGAACTGAATAGTAGCCTAACAAATTAGAAAAGAAATGGAAAAGCTTTCTTATTATTTTGTCTGTCGTTTGTGTTGTCTGTCATAATTTAATAAAACTATAACTATACTACTTGTTTGACCAGTATTAATTTATTGCTTTTAATGACGTTTTATATGGTAGACTCCGTGCTGTGATCAGTTTGTTTAAACAAATTCACGTCGTTGGCTAATTTACGCAGGCTTTTAAGTTTCATCTGAGAATTATTTTAATATTTTTGACTAAATCATATTGTTCGGTTTTGTTGGACGAAAAATGCAAACCAGCACTTGTTCTGCGAAAGATTCCTTATATGTATTTAGCGGTAACTTACGCATATACTGTATATAGTATAGTATATATGGTGAATTATTTATTATTTTTATTACTCTCCAGAAAGGCATGATATATCTCCAAAGAAATATCTCTGATCTATTCGCACTAAGTACCCAACTGCACGTGGTTACGTTTTTGGCACTAAATAAGATACAGCATGCAATTGGTCAGGAGGGAAAAAAAAAGGTTTTTCTACATTTTTAACTTGGCAACTGAAATGCAACTAATCGTATAGCTTCAAATTTAT